GCCAATGACGTCTAACCGCTGACAATGAGATAATGAAAATATTTACGGGGAAACACAGGAACACATTGCACCCTATGCCCCACTGGGGGCGATGAGAAATAATGATGATTATGATGACAGGAACATTTACGTCTTCCTTCTGGCGTTTATCGTGTATGTATATCCCTATCAACACACGCGTCTTTTTTTTTTTTTTTTATACACACTTGCGATATTTATGTTTGTGTCATAAAAGCCGGGTTTCGTTGGGAAAGGTCAGAAAAATATTTACTTTCATTTTCTAAACTTTCGTGTATTTTGATTCGCGTAGGTTTCTTTTAAGGAGTGTCATCACTTAAGAGGTCCTGTTTCTAATGGATGGATTCAGTACCTGTACGGGTAAAACTTGTAAGATTAGGAAGTTAGCAAAACTTTCAAGACAGCCGGAAGTTTGGCACGATAAGCTGAAGCAACTTCCTCGTTACCTATCAAGGACAATGCTCTCAAAAGCGGTCACCCGTAGAACAAAAATTGTCCAGTTTTTCACCGCTGACCACCATTTTCTCTGAATTTGTTTATCTTAACATCATTTTCACTTTGCGTTGTTTAGCCGACAAGTGACAGCTTGTCGTTCCGTAGGAACAGGGTGAGGCATTAGTAAGCTGTGAACCATATGCAGGGTCTCTAGAACTTCCTAAAAGAGAGAGAAAGGGGGAATGGAGAGGATATATGTGTTTTGAGCTGTTCAGATTAGTCTGGGACGTAGTTATCCATTTTGCCTTTTTCGTTTAAAGAAAAGGAAAATCCAAGTCATATAAAAAATATGCATTCTAAATAATTAAACACCGCTTCAGAGGTATCTAAAGGAAGTCATATACAATTCGATCTGATCCTAATGTCGTAAGCACATGCTACCGAGAGGCGTGATAAGGATATGGATGTGCACGCCACATTCCTGTTCACACACGGGTGCCGTGACACAATTCAACGACGTGAGCGTATTAAACAGCAAGCACAAGATGAACAAAAAACTTCTTCTTCAGGTGTACTTGCGCAAACGTCGCCTTCGTTTATACGAAGCTTATGCTTGAGTTATTTCTTATGCTAGTGCCAAAGGCTTTCATGAACTGGGCTCCACACTTTCCCTAAAAAAATTCTTTGGTCTTGGGCGCAGTGTAGCCCAGCACAATGTACTACAAAACAGTGTGGTACAGAGCAGCGCGGTGCAGTGTGGAGCAGAGCAGTATACGTACAGTACTAGTGTGGCCAGTAAGCAAGCTCCCTTGGCAGCTCCTAGAGCAGGTGTAAGGGTGGAAGGAGCACAGCCTACTCTAAGAGCTGCCATCCAAGAGAGGTTGCCCTCAGACTAAGTGCACTGTGGCTATTCTATAGAGAAGTGCCTTGCATTGCAGCGCAGTGTATATATGGGTGCAGTGTAGCGCACGTAGGGCTACACATAGACTGGCTAACGCCCAGTTCAAACGTCGTGCTTTTGCCGTGCCAAACTAAATTCAGGAATTTAGTTCGACAAAAGCACGGCAGAAGCACGACGTCTGAATCAAACTTTTGAATTAAGTTCGGCAAGCAATTAAGTTCGACGAGCTCTGCCGTGCTACACGACTCTGGCAGGGCAGCGATTCAAACGTCGTGCTTCTGCCGCGCTAAACAAAATTCATAAATTACATTAATGTATTTTGGCGAGATTGCGTTCCCACGGGGAGTTAGGAGGAGAATTGTTACGAAGCATCAGTATATCCTGAATTTGGTTTGAATCTGGCACGACGTCTGAATCAGAGTTGTTTTTCTGCCGTGCCATAGTCGAACCTAATTGCAATTTAGTTCGGCACGACAGAAGCACGACGCCTGAACTGGGCCTAAAAGTCCTTTTCAATACTTCTTCCTTACGTCGCTCACGCCCGCGACTAATTCGTCGCTCGAAGATTGCCCTCTCGCTTCGCTCGAGGAAAATGAATAAGCGAAATGTCGTCGTCTATGTTTCTGATTGGGTAATCCTCAAATCAAGTTTATTCAGAACAAAAGAAAGAAGTTGTAGAGCAAAAGAAAATCCAGATGTTTGAGAAATTGGGGCATTAGACTACATCGCCGAAGTCACATGGGAGCAGATGCGAGGAAACATGTGAGTAACGAGTGAGATTGGATGAAGTATATGAAATTGTGAAATGAGTTGAAGGAAGGAGACATAATCTGAGTCGATACAAAGTGTTGCTGTAAAGGGTACTCTTGGAGAAGCGATGGTCGAGGAACTAGCTAACAGAAAAACTTTTCGAATAAATGTAGTAAAGAAAAATTGCCGAGCTATAAACGATGGCCGTACTGTCCTGGTCAGTTTGATCAGAATCTAGTTGTGAAAACATGGTTCCGCTCTTCAAACAGTCTTTTTTGCCATGACTTGTTTTGTGGCCACCAATACCGTAAAAGATGGTGAACTCAGGAATTTAACATGGTTTCCACTCTCACTCTTCATTTTCCCTTCACTTTTTCCTCTCGTTTCCTTGATCAGTGCAAGTGAAGCTCACTCATGTAGTCAGTCGCCGTTAACGGTGAAGGAACAATATCCCTAAAATAACATACCAGAACGACTGTTCAATCAGCATATCCTGATTTAACTTTATAGCCTGCGGTCTGTCCTTTTCATCAAAGCACGTTTCGTTTGAGCTATATTTAGAGCTGCGGTNCGTGCCATAGTCGAACCTAATTGCAATTTAGTTCGGCACGACAGAAGCACGACGTCTGAACTGGGCCTAACTCAACCAAAAAAAATCAAGTCGTTATTCGAGTTGATTAAAGAAAGCGTCATCGTAATTTTGCTGATTATTTCTGCTGTATTGACATATTTTCAGCTAAGCTTTTAAAATGTTCTCAAACATTTATCAACCTTAAACATATTTAAAAACTAGAGATATTATATGACTTCGATGTCATGTTAAAACTACGAGCCTTGATACCCTTAATCCCTGCAAGAAACATTGGCGCAAAGCATTAAGAGAGTATGGCAGGAAGAGACAGACCTGACTTGTGCACTGCAGTAATGCTCTATTCCAATGTTAAGTAGAAGTGTTGTCACGTCTGTCATGGCATTTAGGAATGCAGACACAACAACACATTATGGCAAAGGACGCCTTAATTTTGCATTGTGATGCAGATTTAGGGGATTCAGAAAAAAATTGCAAGCCTCATAAATTTTATAATGTAAGTCTAAAGGTGATATACGTTATTTTGTAACCGTTTTCTATTGACTTGGCATTATTTGCAGCATGCGGACTACCAAGGAAACGCATATCATCTCTTTACTCAATTTTGCGAGAAAAAAGTTATTTTGGGGCGAATTTTACTAGTAAATAAACTGAATTTTGTATGTTGGATACTTTTTATAGCAATTTTTGATAATTTCAAAAATCAAAAGTAGGGCTAACACGAAACCATGTGCTTGGATACGAGTTTTATTAAGCCCGAGTGTTTACCCAAACATTTCACGCAATTTTTGTTCACTTAGTTGTCGGTTCACTAGAATCTGGAGAGGAAGTCGCAACCATATGCTCTTGGCATCTTTTTTCCCAAGAAGGAAATAGAGTTCTTGCTTACACTTTACACAGGGGAGCTTTTTCGCTTTTGAAATCCTGCAGAACTAGGGACCCTCAGTGATGCTACCGAGAGTGGTAGAACCGGTATGGTATAAAGGAGAAGCTCTAATTTGCTGCAGAGGTCTTACAACAGAGGCAGACCGGAGAAGCAATATTGGCTTATGATCCTTGGTATCATTGCATAGCTCTCTTGCATTCGGCCACTCGGGCCCAGTGAAGACGATTTTGACTTAACTTAAAATATTTGTTTACCCACTTACATGTATTTGTAAGCATGTAACAATAAATATCGTTATTGTTGTTACCCTTCAGGTCCAGATTCTTGCTGGCTGCGGCTTCTTTCGAATTTCAGCTTCGAAGCAAGTTCCTGTTTTAGTGTTACGCTTTTCCTTGGGTTATGTAAACCATTTCCATATAAAACACATTTTATCTAACAGTTTTTTGTTTTTTTTGGAGCAGCAAACTACGCCATTTCTCCCCGCGCTGCTCGTATGGTAATTTGCATAAAAAGCGGATGTGACGTCAGGGACAAATGATACGTAATAAAGAAACGGCTGGAAATCGAGCGTATATATATGAATTCGATGGCAAACGGTTTTTTAATAAAAAAAAAAATATTGAATTTAGCACAACTTATGAATCGCAGCTTTACCATACTAGGTAGCAGAATGTATTCACCAAATTTGAAGGACGTAGCTGGGCTAGACGACGCTCAGTTAATTTTTAATTTTCCATACATTTGTCTAAGAAAAACTTTCCCGCGAACCGCGTCTACCCAGCCAAATTTACAGACAAATGTATAGAAAATCACAAAAATAAACTGAGCGTCTTCTAGCCAAGCTAAATCCTTCAAACTTGGTGAATACAATCTTCTGCCTATATATTATTTTAACGTTGCGATTCACAAATTGTATAAAATTCCATTTTTGAAAGAAGTTATTTGCCATCGGTTTCCCATACAAACACTGTACTTTCCTACCCATCAAGATGGCGTCGAAAACCGTAATTAAGCCTATTTGTTTGATGTCATTATTTTAATATCAACTGATATCAAAAGAGAGTGGTTGTATAGGAACCAATCAAAAAGTCGCTTAAAAATATTAAAAACTGTCTTGATCCAACTTATGTTATATTGGTACATTAAATGTACTAAACCTTCCATTTTAAATACCCGACACGCAAAGTCCGTAATTATGGGGGAACCTTTTGTTTTTTTAAGCAACACCTAAAAAACTAACTTCAATAGACATTCTGAATTTAAAAAAAAATTGGAACTGACATGACTTCGATGTGTTTGTTACTAAAATTAGTATATCGATAAACTGAATGGCTCTCGCCGTCACTTCATCAGTTCCTTCTCACTGTACAATAATGTATCCCATGGTTTTGATGTGTTTGATGCCATTATCTGGTGAGTTCGTTGCTTCATTACCACAGGTGTTGGAGTCATCGTATTTCCCTCCTGTACCAAACCCGATTCGGGAATCAGAGGATAAGCAGTCATTTTGCTCGTTACTAATGATGCCGATTCTTGCTTTCGAATTGTATTCAGAAGAACCTACAGCATTGAACCCTTCCTTGTTACATTGGAGCTGCAATGAGGCCTGAGGACCAATCAGCTTCTTCCAGGTGTTACGGCCCACTGTAGTGGCGCGGTACTGCCCGTCAGCGATAAGTGAATACAGAGAGGTGGCCTCCCTGGTAATGACAATGAAGTTTATCTGTTGGCCGATCTTCATAACAAGACAGATCTTGGAAAAGGATGTGTTCCAGTAGGTAGGTAGCTTGGTCTCTTGTTTGTCAAACCCCGTCTCCCCTCCATGAAGGTTGAATTCATTTTTATCGCTCCAGTACACCGAGCTATAATGAAAAGTGTTCTAGGAAAGAAAGTAAAAAATTCAATCTAACCCTCAGAGTTATCCATCACTGAAATATTAGACCTTTCTGGTTTCCGGTTTTTCCTGTTCTTCAATATGTATTATTACCTAACATTATTATAATGGTCAAAAACTTGTCACAATGTGAATATATCATACTGTCCTGCTATCTGTGATCCTTAGATAATAGTTCTTTTATGATCTACGTTGTCAAAAATTATTTGGAATTGTACTCAAGAAGACTCGTCCGAGTTCCTGTGGCAAAATGCTGCACAACCAAAGTTCATCAAGCGGTGAAAATATTATTCGCCCACGGTCTGTTGAAAAATAATGCAGTTGTAAACAGCCCCTCAAACGAAAAAAGTCTGCATACGAGCCAAGTGGTCCATCATAGCCTGTGTACAGCCGCCCCTCCCCTCCAAACAAAATCCCGATTTTTTTTTGGAGGGGAGCGGCGGCTGTACACAAGCTAGCCCATCAGGCCGGCGCTTATCTCCGATTTCTGTAGCATGAAGCGACTAGGAGTATTTCTACTCCCCCCTGGATGGGATGCTAGTCCATCGCAGGGTTACCCCCAGCATTAAGTTTGCCAGTACCTATTTATACACCTGGGTGGAGAGAGGCACTATGAGAGTAAAGTGTCTTGCCCAAGAACACAACACAATGTCCCCGGCCAGGGCTCGAACCCGGACTGATCGATCTGGAAACCAGCGCACTAACCATGAGCCCACCGCGCCTCCCACGGAATAGTAGTCTACACAGCTTTTATGAAATTTGAAACAATTTTTTACATTCCCTTACCTAACGGTTGCACTGTGTGGTTGCTGCGACATTGATTCATGGGTGGCACTCTACTCCATTGACCAGTATCAGGATCAAAACACTCACTTCCATTATCACAATATCTGAATGGTGCACCACTGTGCACGCCAACACCGCAAACAAGGCCACCAACTGCATAAAGTTTACCTACAAGAAACAAGCAATCAAAGACTTATGCCCTGTCTGTGCAAGTACAGCTGCCTTACTTTAGCACCAACAATTTGCTATTGAATGATATACTTGTATTAAGTAATAACTACTGTGTAAAGACATCAAGGCAGTCCTAGAGTCATATTTTATTAAATGTGAACATTTGTCAGGGATAACGCCTGGGGGTGGGGGGGGGGTAACCCCC